ACATAGCCATGACGAGAGCTGTCTACAGTAGCTAGAGTAGCACGTTCACTGTCCGGGTCGGAGGTAACGCTAATTGTAGAGCCGCTTCGCACAGGACGTGTGTCCTCCACCTTTCTTTCCCAAACTTTTAAAACGCTCCAGTCATCATCTTGCACCCATCGAGGATACGAGGAATACAGCTTCCTACTGTCGTGAGATCGGGACTTAGATTGCCCCGACCTGCCACCCAATAATGGCGGCAACTCTCGCAGATCAGTCGAGGTTTTGGATGATAGAAAAAGTCGTTCAGCTTCATCCTGAGTCGTCGTACGAAGGTCCGATAAGTGCAACTCAGTGTCATCCGGTACGTCTACATTGCCTGTCCGCCTGTGCCTGTGGTTAGCTGCCACTATAGGCGCTGTATGGGTGGAACTTCGAAATGGCTCGGCTGGAGTGCTTTCAACATCTTCTTGTTCATTGTCCAATGCCTCCAGCTGTTCAGCAGTCCGCTTTCGCAACATGTCGGCCATATCTACTAATGCCTTCAACCTGCGAAAAGTATCGTCCTTCTCCAGGTCAACATCGACGTCACGTTGAGTAGCCAGGCTCTCCGAATGCTCGGGTCTAGCCGCCTTGCGGGTTTTCGTTGCGTCAGACACAGCTCCACCATTGTGGCTCTCCAACCATGCTTTCGCTTTATCATTGGCTGACCGATGCGTCAACAAGCGCCCTGAACGATCACTCCGTACAGCAATTGACCCTTTACTGCTTGTAGGTCGACTATGGTCAGGTGGTGGCTTGGGTCGCATGGCTCGCTTATTCCACCGATTCTCTACATCCAACGAAGATAAGTCCGGCTCACGTCGACGTAGTGGAGGTGATGGCATTCGTGGACGATGCGTTTGGCTTTTTTCAGCCAAAATATCGGTATCACGCGTCTGGCTTGCCAGTTGACGCATCTGATAACTCTCAGATGTGGCAGACTCTTCCCGAGCCGGTTCAGAACGATGCATGAGTATGTCATTAGCTCGTTCAAGCTCGTACTTCTTTCGCACTTCCATATTTTTTCTCCGAAACTCGTCCAACTCTTCCAAACGTCTAATACGCTTCGCCTTCTCTGCATTCCGCTCTTCTTCTGCCTTCCGTTTCTCTTCTCGCTGTCTTTCAGCCTGCTTCTTCATGAATTCTTGCACCCGAGCGGGGTTGTAAGGTTTCGGCTTCTCGACGTGCTTGTGATACTCTCCCAAGTCGTGAGCTGGGCGAAGTTTGTTCTTCATCCGTTCTTGTCGTTGTCGCTTCATGAAAGCCTGAACCTCCACAGGGTCATACGGTTTTGATTTAGGCGGCTTAGGCGCCTCTTCCTGAACAGACACTGCAGTAGTTAGATGGCGATGCTTTTTCGCCAGCTCTCGAATCTTGTCGACCAAGGAAGCGGATTCTACGACCGGTAGGGTATCGTGGGGTCGTGCTACCTGCAATGGTACATCCTTCTGGAGGAAGGCCTTGGCTCGCTTAGAAGCAGGCACAGGTACACTCAAAAAGTCCTCAAATGCATCACTTGTAATCTTCTGTCCCTGCTTGCGTACCCTTTTGTGCGGCCGATGTTGTGATGCGGGTTCTGTCTGCTGCTTCTGAGGTCGAGTTGGTGCGGCGCCATTGAGCGGCTTTGATTCATCCTGTCTACTTGGATACGCCAATATTCTGCTCTTCTACCAACAATAGCCCTGTAAGTCAGCCTGACGATACATGCCTTGAAATCCTGTGCAAACGCACCTCCCGCCTCTCCGCAGTAGGGCTCGGACCTCGTCTCTTGTTGGAGGTGGTAGGAGGTATCTCACCCACTAGCCCACCCAGCTCTACACTCGGCGCACGTGTCCTCCGTGCTCTGGATATGACTCGCTGTCGACCAGCCGGTGGTATATTAGCAGGATGAATCGGCCTCTGAATGTCCTCATCTTTTGATACGCTGGGGGCCGCCGGACGGTCGAAAGGAGAAGGATAGAATAATGGCTTCGAGTGCGCCGACATGATGGCCGACCCGGCTTCCCTCCAACCACGGGGACCTCTTGTTAACCAGTGGTCTTGGTTCCCAGTTCCACTTCCGAGGATTCTTAAGGTTTACCGCGATGCACGCGAAATTTCAGAGATAACCAGACATTCGCTGCGAACCCATCACTTTGTTAACTTGAAAACAGCGCAGCGTCAGGAATTGCTGTATCCAAGAACATTCGACCATACCGCAACTTTTAAGTAAATAGATTGTTAGATTTGTATTGTCCGCACTCGCTTGTACAAAAACTGATGGTGCTTCGAGAATCTCGCTGCAGAATCAGCTTTGAAAGACAATGTTTACCGTCAGGTGTTGTACTATGCAGATTTCTTTCTTTTAAGAGATAACTGTAAGAAGTATCTGATGACTTTGGCAATCTTGGACCTTGCATGGAGTGGACATACGGTCTTGGACATCCAAGCAACATGTTGGCTGGAAGGACAAGATGGATAGGAGACGAGATGCTCACTACTGTCCTCGCCGATCCCAAAGTTGGAATTCCTGCCATGGGCGATCACGAAATGGTTGAAATCTGTGGGACAAGGCAGCCACTTGCTTGTGATACAACAGAAAGGTTCTGACGCATCTTCACTTGAATCCATCTAGCCCAAGTATCACTAACGATGACCGCCCTCCAATACCGAAGAGCAGTCTGCTTCAGCACGCTATCATTTCCTTTACCGCGTCTTGGACAGCAACTGGAAAACCGCGTATGGGATAATCGCGATTATCACGGTATGGAGGATACATAGTGGATCAACCAAGAATACTGACAGGTTGGTAGGAGGTATAGTTATTGTCCAAATTTGTTTGTCTGCAATGAACTCTGGCATTACGAGTAAGGCCCTCCGCTCATAGTCGTGGTCAGTCATGTCAATAACGCTCGTTGAGCGAGATCATGGACATTGTGCCCCATGTTGAATTCTGCAGTGATACGGAATAGCCTCCAACGTTGTGTCAGCAGTGGATCCCTAGCGGCGATATCCCGTCTGAGAGCCACCTCCACATCCTCGTCTCGACTTTCCAGCCAGTGTAGGCACTTCCGACTGTAGCCTTTCTCTGTAGTATCCGCGAATGGTCATGGTAAGGCTGCCGCGGGAGATCCGCCGAACAATAGCCTGGGTCTTCTAGCAGTCCACCGTTGAAACGGTTGCCTCCGACATGCATGTGCATCGTCAAATGTGCTCTACCGGAAACGTCTCGAACACAGCGTGTGCTCCAATTGAGAAGTGTTCAGATTACCCGATATGAGCAGCGCCTTTACCTGCTGCTCATATTGCGTGATCATTTGCACACTGGCCAGGGTGTTGTGCATTCCCTGTGCAAATTCCGCACGACCGCACTCCACAACCGACTGTTCCGCAACACCAGTGGTTTTCCTTGTTTAGTTTGGGTTTAAAGTTCGCGAGGCTCAGTCATAGCATTACATAATCAAACTCCGCCGACCTGAGTCAAGTCTTTTACAAGTCAACTGTCAACATTTGGAAGTTGGCCATCACTGGATTCATCCAACGTCGGTAGGGCAGAGTCGCCTTCGGTTCGAGAGGACACCACTGCACGTACTGTACATACGCTACCTGGAGGCGCACGAACAGGGGAGGGGGGTACGTTACTGGACAGCGCGAGGGGGTGGTCTAAAATTCTATGTTAGTTAAGAAAGTGGTTTTTGGCATCCAAAAATGAAGTTGTGGTATCGTTTAAGTAACCCCCGACATTCGCTGATGCGGCGTTGGTCCAAATATCGGGAGAAGGACGCGAAGGAGGGGAATGGCACGAGTGTCAAGCGGATTTTGAAAAAGTTCTTGAAAATCGGAAGGAAACACAAGCAGCGCTCAAATGTCGTGAACGCCGAGAGTTCTCCTGCTGGTGGGGACAGAGTTTCACGGGTGTTGCTGGTAGAAGGGGACGGTATTGTGGTCGCAGTTGTGGAGGATGAAGATGGGGTTTCCAGCGGTAAGCATGATTTCCGTTAAGGCACTTGACATTCTGACTCACCCGTTTCTACGGTACGGCGGCGATAGATGTGAAGCTCATCGTACCCCCAACATTACCAAGCCCGCCGTACACTGACGATGCTACGTCCCCCACCATAACCGAAGATTCTTCGTCGTCTGCAATGTCCATAGAATCTGCTACCGGATCAGAGTTGTCACCATCTTCTCTACCTTCCCTGCGGAAACAACCATCGAACCGCTGGTCAGCAATGTGCATCGACACGGGCAGTGCTTTCATCCCGGAAACAGATGGTGATGACGCAAGATCGACAGCACCGTCTGTGTCCTCCATGTCCCTCCGTCACTCGATCTACCGACGCCACCAGTCTATCTTCACCGTGTATTCCAATTTCCAGGTGTGGGATGAGGAAGAAGAACTGCCAACAAACAGCACCAATCAGTGGAATCGATCTGAGGAGGACGACTCTAGCGGCATCGGTGACGTTGCGACAAAGTTACGGCTGGATCGTAAGTCCATAGTTGGCGTGCGCAAGTTAGAGTTGCTGCTACAGGATATTTTGGGTGGCGACTGGGGTGTAGAGGAGGCCATCGATGAAAAGTCTGCGGATGCAGACGATTCTCCGGATGAAACGGTGTTGGTCATTGACGATCAGGCTGATAGTGCGTCAACAGAGGAAGCGGATAGTGTGAAAGAGACTGCTCACGATAAAGACATTGTAACTGATGGTCTGGGCGACAAGTCGGATCATCGCGCGGAAGATTCACTGGACGCAGAAGTGGACACTTTACAGAAATGATGAAAGGCATTGACGAGGACTTTACAAGGTTCTACATACTTAACTTACAAAAGCACTTCATTACATAGCATTTTCATGTATACATAGGTAGGTTTTAGATAGACATAGCATACATATATATAATTTACGAACTGGCAAAAGCCAAGACATTTGTCTGTCCACACAGGTCCAGATGAATGTGACGGGCAAAAGGCAAGTGAAATGTAGGAAAAGAAGCTATTCCGCATCGGGGAATCGAACCCCGGCCGCCGCGGTGAGAGCGCGGAATCCTGACCACTGGACCAATGCGGATCTGTGAAATCTACAGCAGATGGCCATATATATCATCAAAATGATCGATGTTTTCTCAACTTATGCACCTCTATGAATCCAGGATGTCAAGTTTTCACAGTTAGCAGGGGAAGATGATAACCAATTCGTAAACTTACTTCGGCAAAATGAACAATCGACATCAATTCAACCCCGTGCCAAAAAGCTCTGATGACCAGGGGAAAAAAGAAATCATTCCGCATCGGGGAATCGAACCCCGGCCGCCGCGGTGAGAGCGCGGAATCCTAACCACTGGACCAATGCGGATCCGATGAAGACGTTACAATGAAAAACTGAAATATTGTCAAGTTCAAACAGTTTCTCCTTGAGCATTAGCAAATTCATGTGTTATATATTATTCAAGCTTGGAACGTGGTCGAGCTTTCAAGAACAGTTAAAACGAATTATCAAGGTACGCTAACTGTTCTGCGCGAGCGTCTTTGGACCTCCGTTTGGTCTTTCACAATTCACACTTCTTCTATTAGTCGTGTGATGCTTTCCAGTTTCAAAGGTGAAAGTCGACCTCAACGCGTCGTCCATCAACCGTCAACAACAAAAACAACACCACCATGGCGGACTTTGAATCGGTGCTTCTACTCATCCCTGAATGCTTCGTCTACCGAATACCGTCTCGAGCAACATCGCGTGGTTACAGGTACAGTCCGACACATGGTATAAAGCTCTCGCCCTGTCTCCCGAGTGTCCTCACCGTGTGACTTCTTCAACAGGGCTTCGGATTGGGATGTAAACCAACATCTCTGGACGGGTCGACTACGTATCGTCAGCAAGGGAGACAATGCGTTCATCCGCCTGGAAGACCCAAACACTGGTGACCTCTTTGCAGTATCACCCTATGACCCACAATCCAACAGCGTAGAGCCAGTATTGGACTCGAGTCGGTACTTTGTGCTCCGCGTTGTGGATGCGACGAGCGGTCAACACGCCTTCATTGGCATGGGCTTTCCGGAACGAAGCGCGGCCTTTGACTTCAACGTCGCATTGCAGGACTGGAGTGGGTGTGTTTCCCACGGTCTTGAATTTTTAACGAAATGGATGTTCTAACGCCAGTTGTAGGCGAAGTACTCGTGCTCAGCCAAAGCCGGATGCTCGGCCGGAACCGAAACTGGACTACAGTTTGAAGGAGGGTCAAACCATATCAATCAAAATTGGTGTATGTAACTCCCGAATCGTGTATTTGGAAGACCCACATGGATACCAATCAGTTCATATGAATAGGGATCGCGAAACGCCAATTCCAAACCGACGGACTCGTTGATATTTACGCAATCTAACGCGGTGACAGGCGGAGCTCTACGTACGACTGGATGTATTTCGGGTCAAAGCCATCATATTAGAAGCTGATCGTTCTTCTTTCCAGCGATGTTACCCCCACCACCATCGGGGCGACAAGGAGCGAACAAAGAATCGACACTGGTAAATGACGACTGGGCAGAATTCACAGGCTTGACGTCGATCGATACCACTGCTACGAAGACGAAATCAAACCAGGGCGTGCCGCCCGGATGGACGACGTTTTGAGTGTGTAAAAAGCATATATTCACAGGTTAAGAAACATCCATCATGAAGTGTGTGGCTACACTATTGAGGTCGAGTCTAAATATCGGCAACGATGTCTTCCTCTTCTAATACTAATGGCTTACGACACGCCTTTATTGGCGGAGGCGGGACCACGTCGTTAAATACAAACGTTCTATAAATTGGTAAATAAATGGTATCATATGACGCTAAAACGCAGCAGAGTACACATACCCATATATGAGGATGACGAATCCCACAACCTGGAGCCACCGGAATGTCTCCCAACCCAATCCCAGACTGACCATCCAAATAAACAAAGTCCGGCAGGTGTCGATTGTACTGCGACTGGTGGCACTGATGCTCCGTGTTACGGAAAGGCCGAACCAGTTGAAGAATGCGATAGAAAAGATGATGCCAATGCCAGCATATAAGATTTGTGAATGCGAAATGATCTGATGCCATCCAACAGGCAGATCGAAGAAATTGTTCTCGTCCACTCCAAAGAAGTAGTAGAGGATCGGCATGGCGGTCAGAGTGGTGATTAAGCCGAAGATGCCTTCAAGGCCTACTGCTTTGATGGCAGGCAGTTCATACCGCGCCATAATTTTCTCTTCAATGACAAACTGTAGAGCAGTAAACGTCTGCGCGAGGACGACAAAGAGAACCCCAGAGACTGAACTCTTCACCGGACCGACGCCATCTCCGTCCGGCTTCTCAATGATGCTACTCATGCCGACAACGCCTACGCCGAGGAAAACCATGACGAGCGCGAACCACCTGTAGACCGGATGCCTGCGACCCAGGAACCATACTGAAAATGTGCCCGTAAATAGCACCACAGAGCCGCGTAGCATTTGATATATTGACGCCGATATGTGAATCAGTCCAACATTCATGAGAGTGGTCGCTGTCATGTCGCATAATGTGGGAAGCCAAAGGAGCAAGTTGAGCTTTCCTTCCAAAGGAATCGCTGACGCCTCGTGCGCATGGCTGAGGTCGGCTATCTCTTCGGTTAGGAGCGGGGAGTGAGGACCCGCTGTGTCGGCCTGTACTGACACTGGGTCTTCGGGGTGGACTGCAACGGCGTGGTAGCCGTCCGCCACAGGAGACCTCCGCGCTTCAATCCATAAACCAAGGTAGTAAACGATAAGGCACAGGGATTCGCCGATGAACATGTTCAAAGTCTACAATGATATCGTGAGACTTGCATTTCGCAAAAGGACGTAATTGTGTCATGGTTCTCACCTGCCACACAGGCTGTTCAAAATAATGTCGTTTGGAAGGGTCTGGGTTATCGCATCCACCGACACACACGAGGTCCTGAAGTTTATTCAACAGGGTATTGATGGTGCCCGTGAAGAGCATGCCCACCACGAGCACTAACACCAATATCCCCTTCATAGCTGGCGACGTTTAAGGTGAGGGGTTGATTGTTGGGCGCTGTCTAACACACGAGCCTGCAGCGCGAGCTAGCTCGGTGACAGCAAAAGGACAGACGAAACTAGATAAAAGGAAACTCTCTCTCTCTATCTTTCTCAAGACGCAGGAATGAACTGAGGAGGGGACTTCCTACTGAATGTATATGCGTTTTCCCCTTTCTCACAATGAAAGTCACGAACGCTTGGAATGGCTCAGCGTGTCAAGTCATCCAGTGAAATTTATGAAATATTTCAGGCCATTCATATAAAACGTCAAAATATATTTCCACAGATTAAGTGCGCGCGCTTCAGATATTTTTCTCGCAGACAGCACCAAAACTTGGTTCAGCACCATAACGTTCATTCGGCGGTCCTCGAGAAGTTTTCGTAGCAGCTGCCGACATGTCCCAAAAGTTGGCCACGAAGGCCTTGGTAAGTCCGGCTGCCGGCGAAATATGCTGTTATCTTGTCAAGTCTGAACTCTTCGAATAGGACGCCTTACTGAAAAGAACGGGAAGTAAAGCAAAGAAAGCAGCCAACACCGCTCCCAATAGCATAGAGGATGCTTCCAAAACAATCAAAAAAGTTCCGCCGAACAGGTTGACGTTTCGCAAGAATGAACGACAGGCAGTGCGGAAGCGGAAAGAACTCGAGAAGGAGCGCACACGGATGGAGCTGATGCGAGACGGTGCGGCAGTTGAAGAAGTGGACCGAACTGAGATTGTACAACGAACGTACAAGTACTTTGCCCGTCGAACCCAAACAGACAAGGCGCGCGAAGTACTGCGAAAGGTTAGATTGTGATGCACAGTTGCACCGCCATGGGTGTAGCTTCTTACATTTCTCATCTGTAGCTCAAGAAAGGCACCAGCACCACTTCATGATTGTTTGGAAACTGACATCAACACATCCGACTAATTTATTAATATTTGACTATCTGATACGCTCTAAAATTTGTACAATAGATCCTACTCCTCTGGCTTAAAACTTGCCATCATGAGCATCTCTTGTGGTATTGATATAGCAGTGGAATGTAATGATACGTTTGCGGGGTGTGTTACACTCACGAGTAACTGGTCGGCTTCAGTGTGATGTGGATGCGGTGAATGGTCTGCAAGCACACGCGACGTTAGATCTTGAGCACCCAGAGTCATCAAATGGTGGTGAATGGCCACGGCATTATCCAGCTCCTGCGTATCCGACTTATTGTCGTCTAAAGGATCGCGTTTGAAGATTGTGGTAAGAGTGGTGAGTTCGCGGGTGGCAAGTATGTCTTGCAAGCATCTTTGCATGTCGTCTGTTATGGGCGTCACACACGTCTTAGCCAGACTGAAACGCTCCTCCCAACGCGCAACCAGGGTTCTAGCTGTTTCGCGGATGATTTCGACAGAGCTTTCGTAGTGCATCTTTCGTAAATGGTGCTGGGAGTGCATGAGGTTACCCATTCGTCGCTCGCATATCTGTGACAATTTGATGTTGGCCAGGCACAGAGGACAGGCAATCTCCAGCGGATTCTGTAAATAGTATGCCGCGCCAAATATGTCTTTGACGATGTCCGCAAGAATGAAGAAGCGTTCTTGCCACGCTTTATCTAAAGAGTTGAAAGCAGCTATATGCCCTTGCTCTTTGGAAAGCCGTCGATATAACTCTGTCTGTTGTTGCTGGCGTTTCATCGGCTGAGATGACCCATCTGTGTTTATTGCCTTTTCCGATCTTCTCCTTCGTTTCTGACGTGAACCTGTATGGGATTCAGGTGCTGCCAATAGCTGGCTCAGCATGTCCATGCCATCCCTAGCATATCCATAAACGGGGTGCCAAGTGAGCATTCCTGGCGATACGTGCTACTTGACGCAAAGTCTCACTACTCACTTGTCGTGCAATGCTGATCTACCCCGCTTTAAACTCGTAGGCAACGTAGGTATGTGTGCATTCCATATCAAGTTCGCCTTGCTCTGACCCTCCATTTCGGTGAGGGCGATCATCCAGCCCTCATCATCCCAAAGGTCATAAAAAAGGTCATTGTCA